CAGACATAGAAGAAGCAGGAAAGTAGAACATATAGAATAAAAAAAGGTAAAAAGGCCCAAGGCACAACGTAGATGAAGAGAAACAGCTTAAATTAAGTTAAAAGATCTGGTAGGACAAGCCTAAGCTAAGGCTGAGCATTCATAATTAATAATAAGTCTCTGTGTCTTTATTTGGGAGCTGCTTGGTGGGCCAAAGAAAATATCAATTATAGCCTCCAACCAGATAGGACTTCAGGTGTGCATGTCAGTGGTCAGCAGTACATATATTTTTTTTTTACAATTTTATAAATTTCTTAATGTAGTCATTAAAGAGGATTGCAGTGTTAAATTTAGTGACTACTACCCAGTTAGCCTCTTGAAAGCTTCATCAATTATACTTACAATGTGTGAATGTCCACATTTCCAAATTCTTAATGGTATTTATCACTGTCAATTTTTAAACTGTTCCTTATGGAATTCTTGGATAAAATGTTTCCATTGGTATCTCCAGAGACTTCCCCCTTTATCTCTCTCTTACATATTTGGTTCTTCTGTAAAGGTGTCCGTATTCATTGCCTGTTTATCCACTAAGCCCCATTGTCTCATTGTCCCTGTTACACACATTACTCCATTACTCCATGCCCTTGGATGCTCAAGTGCAAATCAGTGAGTTCGAGGCTAGCCTGGTCTACAAGAGCTAGTTCCAGGTCAGACTCCAAAGCCACAGCGAAACCGTTTCAAAAAACAAAAAACAAAAAAACAAAAAACAACTTCCCCAAAACCAAAAAAAACCAAAACCAAATAAAACAAAAAGCAAATCATTGCTCCACCATGTGCAATACAAGTTAGCCATTGGTTTGAGGGCCTGGCATTATTTAAAAGCGTAGCAGTTTTGTTAGTTTTTGCTCTATTTTCACACCGTTGCATACAGGCATAAAAGATATCATCATATTCGAGATTCTGAGGACCCTCAGAAGTTTTATTGCAAAGAGATGGTTCACTGGAAAGGACCACAGCACGGCACTGCAGCCATGAAGCTATCCTCATTACTTAAATAACTTCATATGCACACACAGCAGCAAGAACCACAGCACACCTCAGCACACTGTGAGCAGCCTTAAAGAGACAGAGCCATCTGCACTCACAAGAAATTAAAAGCTAGATACACACAAGACATTCATTAGTTCACATAAAAATACCTGGATTTTTTTTTTTTTTTAGAGTTAAAATAAAATGCATTAAAATTGGCAAGAGTTTGGTTTAAGTGGTGCATTCTGGGCCTTTTCTTCAGACTACTGTTGTTTTAATTTCATTATTTAAAAACAAAAATTAAAAATTTAAACAGCAACGTTTGTTCAGCTTTGAGTAACTAAATAACACTTAAGTATACAGTTTTAAAAGGTGAATTTTATGGTACATGCATGTGTCATGTCTCAAACAAAGCTATCTTCCTTTCTTTCTTCCCTTCTTTCTTTAACTTTGAAAAAAATTATTTCCACAATTTTGTTTTGTTTTAAAAGACAAGATATTGCCCAGAAGGACCCCCAACTCCCAGGCTTAAGTAATCCTCATGCCTCAGTTTCCCAAATACCTTGGGTCATAGGTGTGCACCTGTAATCTGCTTGACTCATGAAGGTTTTTTTTTAAAGTAAAATTTAATAATTAGATACGACTTTGAATACATATGCGATATATAAGAGACCACTACCCTTCTGGTTAGTATTTTTGAGAATTAAAGATATTTAAAAATACGAAATATACTTAGAATGTGTTGTGCTCATCATTAATTTTTCACAGATCTTATGTAAGAACTCTGGAAGTCAGTAGACTGCACAGTAGCTGTGACATGGCGAGGCTCTTCCCACCCCTTCTCTGGGGCAGTAATGGTCAAGGAACACACACTTACGGTGGCTTCCAAAGAGTGTCGTTGAAGTGAGGCGTCAGGACATCTGAAAACGGCTGGGTGACAACTTACATGCCCTTGTGCAGACAGAGCCAAGCGCCCATCAGAAGTGACTGCAGCACAGGACAGAGAGCAACGAAACAGACACCCATCCCGTCCTGTCTACCCTGTCTCAGACGCTGGGTTCTCGGCTGGCAATTAATGAAGGTTTCATTGTGTTGCAGTATTTGCAAAAAGTAAGTTGTGGGTTAATTAAAGAGCCCCAGACAATAAATTAAGTCTATTTATCAACAGCATAATATGGACAACGGCTCTCGGAGGCTGACTCATCCATTGGAACTCCCAGTTGAGGAGCTCGGAGGGCAGCTGAGTGGATACAGTACTTGCTCAGCTGCACCAAGTGCTGGGTTTGATGTTCAGCACCACGTACAGTCAGGTGTGCAGGTACACGCCTGTAAGCCCAGCCTTTCTAGGTGCTTTCAGAAGGGTCAGAAGTTCAAGGTCCTCCTCAGCTATATAAACATTCTATTTGATGCTAAGCCACAAATAAAGGAGCGCCTGTGCAACAATAAGACATAATTTAGGATAGCACAAAAGGGTCACGGTGACCTCCAAGATAAAAGTGACGTCATTTTACTGTAACCCATTGGTTGGGGGGGGGGGAGACAGACTTCTGAATGTGTTACGTTTCTACACTTTAAAAGCAAACAGAAAAGCAAGAGCCATTCCTATTAAAAAATAATCGACACGGGAGCAAAAGAAAAAGTCTTATGATGGTCTGATGGATGGTTGGGGTCCCATAGAAGTTTAAACACACTTTCAGAAGTTATGACCTCTGTGTCTAGAAGGTCATGAAGAAAACAATTTCTCTCAGGAGGAAACTTATTGCCATTTTGTTTGGGGGGGGGAGGAGTAGGAGTGGCAACTGTACTCCAAATGCTACTCTGTTTCAAAGGGGGTGAGAAGGAACCACCCACAGACGCCCAGTGGCTTGCAGATAAGGTCTGGGCAGCCGCCTGACAGCCGCCTGAGCGCTGTAACCGCCCATCCAGGCTCCCTAACGCTGCACTACCAGCAGCAGCATGGCTGTGAAAGGTTCTCTCTGGTCTCCTAGACACAATACTGACCTTGTCCTTTGTCCTTCAGCTTCAAGTGAACAAACCTTTTACAGTCATTTGGGTTCAAAAACAAATCATGGGGAAGGGACAAATTTCCCTTTTTTCATTCCATGGACACTTAATGGCACATGGCCATGTTTTTTAGAAAAGCAGTATTTGTGGCATAGAGTACCTAGAATTTAGTAATAATAAAAGAAAAAAAACCTTTGCAAATAGTTTTCTTCCTCTGCTTCTCCACAGGTACTACACAGTGTGAGGCGGACCTGCTCTTTCTTAATTTATTTCCTCCTATTTCCAGATGCTATCATTTCCCCATCCGAGGAACAGGTGTGGAGAGGCATCTACGAAAGGCTGGAACCAGACCACCATCAATCTGGCACCTCTCTGGCTAACATCAAAGCCCTCCACTCTTGTTTTTAAAGTGTGTGGGTGTGGGCTACACTTTTTATTTTAGATGAGGTCCCATTCACTCCCTTCCCTCGGCTGGCCTCTAGGTTCAAGGGATCCTCTGGCCTCAGCCTCCTGAGTAGCTGTTGATTTTAACTGGGCAGTACCACACCAGGCTTATATACCAACAAGAAATAAATCTAGATTCTCAGGGATTTCCATAGAGCCGCCTGGGAAAGCCCACTCATGTCTTCAGAGAACTTGCAATCTAGAGCTGTGGCGACGAATCACACAGCATGGTAGATCTTGTGATTTCTAACGAGAAAAGATAAGAAATGTGTAGGAGAGTCACATAATCAAAGGAAAACAAAATCCTTTAAAAAAAAAATCATTCTATACCAGAGGGAGATGAGGCGCGCTAACAAGCTTTGCAACTTCTCAAACGAACGGGGCAAATTTCATCGTCTAAGCCACAGAAAACTGTGGCCGGGTGTGACTCTCCCAAACACACTGTCAAGGTACCCCTAGGGATGGTGCGCCTCCCCAGGTGGGGATGAGAGGGTGGGGAGACTTAGCGCAGTGCAGACGGCCTTCCCTGGCTTCCTCATCCCAATTCTGACTTCAGTCTCCCGGAAGGGAAGTTTGTGAAGCATCTAAATAAGCCAGATTTTACTTTTTGAAAAAGACAAGTTGCAGCATAGAAAGTTAAAGTCAGACAAAGCTCTACCATCCGTGGGGAGTCCAGCAGCAAGAGTGCACGGGTGCTCTCGTTGCTTTCTGGAAACAGAAGAAGAACTGAAATCAGTCAAAGTGCTCTGAGCACCACAGACACGGGGCCGGCTCATGGCCAGCTCTTGGCGTGATTTCGGTTTGTCTGTTATGGATGAATCCATAGGCTAACTAAATGTCATCCTTATCTGTATCAAAACGTTGGCCTGGCATGGTAGTGCACGCTCACCATCTCACGCCTTGCGAGACTGAAGCAGACAGACAGCAAACTGTAGTCTGGGTTACACTGTAGCAGCCTGTCTTAAAAACAAAGACACAACCCAAACCCTGGCATTTTGAGTGGACAGTGCTCCATACTAGGTTATACCTCAAGCAGAACACTTCATGTCTCACAGCTAATACTATTGAATTTGGATATTGTAAAGTGATGTCTCAAAGCAGAAAAGTGACCCTTCTGCCTTCTGCCACGGCACAGAAAGACACGTTTCCTGCCTCTTTCATTTCTCAGCTATCATTTCTTACTAGGCTTGGGAGTTTGGTTCTCACAATCGCTTCAACTTTCTAATTGCATTGCCTCTTGCACCTGTAGGATGGGAAATGAGACAATCCAGTATGATGGGAGTAAACGCAAGGAGAGTCACTAAGTGCCAAGTGGAGACCAAAGAGCTTGGCCAGGAGTTCAGCGCCCACAGGGACTGGCATCTACTGAGCTGCCCAGCTTGGCTTTGTTTACGTCTGGGTGCATTGCCAAAGACCAGAGAGGTTCTTATGCAGGTGATCCGGCAGTAAATCCAGGCATTTTTTTTGTGCACAGAGAACAAGAGGGGAAAGATAGCTACTGTCTCTTTAATTGGCAACTCATAGCAGCTTACTTCGTACTGTACCTGAGACTTGAGCGCTCACAGCCTCGCTGCGGACAGTCTTTGTTAGTTTAATTTCCTCGGAGGTCATGGCTTTTTAATGTTACTGAAATGAAAGAGTACATCATACAAACACATGAGCACGATGCTTACGGAAACGAGGGGTGGGCTGCCCCCCACTAGCAGCACGGGTTCTGCCTTCAGGCACGCCAGCTCATCATTGCCAGTCAGCACAACGATGCATATAAACGTGATGGAACGGGAGGAGGGGGAAGCAAACTGCACCAGTGATCAAACACTGATGCTCCTGTCGCGTGCCATAGTCAACACAAGCAGCCCAACCAGTGAATTATAGCCTCTGCCACATTACTGACCCTTGTCCCAAGGAAGAAATTTACTGCGCTCCCCAGACTTAAAAAGAGCAGGCAGGATTTATGAAGGGACACTTTCCTTTTTATTAGTAGCTGAGTCAATGTTTATGCTGAGTCAAGCCACTTAACCCCTAAACCAGGCACAAGAAAACTCTATCTCATCAAATGTCCAAGCTTGTAGTGTTTGGATTATTCCATTTCAAAACCAACCATCTGTATGTTTGCAGGAGGGACGCTGGAGCTAGGGGGTCATTACGTTAAGCAAAATAAGCCAGACTCAGACAAATACTGAATGGTTTCTCTTAATGCAGAATCTAGATTTGAAATTACATATGCATGTGTAGCATGTACATAGACGTACAAACTCAGAAGGGGACAATGAGACAGAGAAAGAGATCTTAAAGAAATGGGAAATTGAAAGCAAAGGAATATCTGGGCTAGGAAAGTCGATGCAGGGCCTGAATAGGGAAAGAAAGGGAGCTAGCTGGAGGAGGTAGGAATGTGGGGGATGGGGACAGACGAGGAGGAGGAGGAGGAGGACACATATGCATTAAGATGCTGCCAGGAAATCCATGGCTCTGTGCGCTAACCTGAAAATTTAATTTCAAAGAAAGAGCATTGAAGAGATCTCTAATACCCAAACAAGCACCTGTTTGTCGTTATCGTATTTCTTGGGGGAAGTGAACAGGTTTATAAAACAGGATAATATGTAATAGCATTTTCAATTTTTCCTCCATTATTTTCCCCAGTAACTCAAAAGTTATTTGTAGATAATCATTTTTATGAATATTGTTTATTAAGAAAAAAATTCCCTGACAAATATAAATTTTGAAACATTTAAAACTCTATAAAGTCAAAGCTGTGGTTTGAATGTACCCTAGTTACTGTTCCTGTTGCCCTGACAAAATCTGACCGAAGCCACATGAGGGAAAGAAAGGTTTATTTGGCCTGTACTTTATAGGAGTCTGGTCCATCATGCCAGAGATGGCAGGGCAACCAGGAGTAGCTTGGTCTGAGGTGGCTGGCGCTGGCAATGAGGCTTCACGTCTCTGTGAACTGGGAAGCAAAGGACAGGAATGCTCACAGGAATCTGACTTTCTCCTCTTCCCCATTGTACCTGCCTGGGTCCCCAGCTCATGGGATGGTATCACACACATTCCAGGTGGGTCTCCCTCCTAAGTAATTCTCTCTGGAGATGGCCTTACTTACACACAAGCAAGCATGCACATGCACACACTGTGTGTGTGTCTCTTCTAGTCAAGTTGATATTGAAGGCTGGCCACACCAGAGGGCATATCCTCAAAAGGTCATGCTTTGGAAGCATCATCTTCAATGTGGTGGTATCAACAGGTGACCAGACCTTAGAGAGTCAGAACCCAGTGGGAAGTGACAGGTCACTGGGGTGCCGCTTTGGGGAAGGATTGTGCATGGTAGCTCTAATGAGCTCCCTGGTTGTTCTCCAGAGAGTGAGTCTTACAAAAGAATAAACCTGTCCCCCTTTGTTCTCTGGCTTTCTTCTCATCACGTGACCGTTTCCTCTCAGCCGTGCTCCAGTCATGATTCTATCCACCACGAGGGGACACAGCCAGGGAGCCGGCACCTAGCCCTTGAACTTCCAAAAGTGTCAGCTAAACAAACTTCGTATGTTTGTGAAGTACATGGATTGTCTCAGCACCATAATGCCGTATTTTAAAGAGTCTCTCTTAAACCTTTTCCAGCCATTTTTGAAGTACACTTTTCTGTTCATTGCCGTAAACTTTAACCTGTTAACCTTTGGCATGTCCTCAGCTGTGACCAGCTGTTCCTACAATAGCTGTCTGTGAAGCAGCTGTGTGTCTTCGCCCTGCAAACTTACAGCCATGCTAGGGCTTTCTCTCCTGTGTCTCCACTCTCCTGGTTCCTCAGCAAAAATTGTACTAAGCATGCTCTATGTGTGCATGTCCCTTCTATTTGAACAAAGTGTAAAATGGTTTCTTAAAGCTCAAAATACTTTTTTCTTGACTTGTCCCATCCTAAGTTCTTATTTCTTTTAAGAGATTTGTAACACACACACACACACACACACACACACACACACACACACACGCATGCATATAAACTACCTCAACAGAAAACATACAACCAAAGACATTTTTAACACTTTCGATCAACATTACACCAAGAGAGTTTCTTTAGAGCTGGAGAGACGGCTGCTCTCCCAGCAAACCCTAGCTCAATTCCCAGTGCCCACACAACGGTCACAAACATCTGCAGTGCTGGCCCCAAGAAATCCAGTGCCCTCTTGTGGCCTTCTCTGGTACTGCACTCATGCAGGGCACCAAGACATACACACAAGCAAAACACCCATACACATAAAATAAAAATATTTTTTAAAAAGGAAATCTCGCTGGGTGGTGGTGGTGGCTCGCGCCTTTAATCCCAGCATTTGGGAGGCAGAAGCAGATGGATCTCTGTGAGTTGGAGACCAGCCTGGTCCATAAAGTGAGTTCCAGGACAGGCAGGGTTGCTACACAGAGAAACCCTATCTCAAAAAAAGGAAGTCTCTTCCCTTAAAGCTCATCTATTACTTCCTGCTTCACTTAATTGTACCGAAAGTATTGCTAGGGTACTGCACACAATCTCCGCAGAAATGTCATCTCTCCATTTGAAATGGACCGGATCAACCCAAGGGATTAACTAGCGTCAGGGTCCGCCCACTGCCAACACTGTAGCTGCCTTTCACGGGCTGAGGTCACTCAGGCCGCTGTAGCGAAACAGCACAGACCAGAGAAATTCCTTCTCCCAGCTTTGGAGCCCAAGCACAGCGAGGTCTAGCAGGTCTGGTGTCAGTGGCCGGCCCCTTTCTGGTTCCCTGGTGAGGACCTTGTAGCTCTGTCCTCACATGGTTGAAAGGGCAAGCCTGCTCTCTGGGGACATCTTTATAAGGACATCCCTTCCATTTGTGAGGGCTCTGCTCTCATGACCCAATCACCTCCCAGAGGCCTTGCCAGCTGCCCCCCCCCCCCCCCCCCGTAGGTTACCATTTTAACAAGACTCAAACATAAAGCGTGTAACACTTTGGCTTAATTTTTTTCTGCTGGCCTCTGAAGATGCTGTGGTATTAACTGTTCCTTATTCAACTTTAGCTTATACTCTGTAACCTGCAAAATCTTATCACTGGACTGGGCGGGTGGCACAGGCCTATAATTCCAGAACTAGGGAAGCCGTGGTGGGCAGACCTATGTTTGAGGCCAGCTTAATCTACATGGTGAGTTCTAGGCTAGCCTGATGTGCATAGTGAGTTCTAGACCAGCCAACTACATACTAAGACTCTGTCTTTAAAAGAGAAAAATCCATTATCACTGAGAAACTGGGTATTTTGAAACGTTATGACGTTTTCTTTGTGGCTGCTCACATGGCTGTGACAGACAAAATTTGTACCAGGCTTCTTCTTTGGGGTCACCAGCCAGCTCCCAAATCGTGGCATGGAGACTTCTTATCAGTTATGAATGCTCAGCCTTATCTTAGCTCTTATTTTAATCTGTTTCTCTTTATCTACTTTTTACCTTCTTTCTTTCTCTGTATTTTACTGTCCTGCTGTCCCTATGCCTGGCTTCTGGCCCAGGGCGTGCCCCTCACTCCCCATTCTCTCCTTTCTCCTTCTTCCCCCCCTTCTCTTCAACTTATTCTCTCTGCTCACCAGCCCCGCCTATCCCTCTCCTGCCTAGCTATTGGTCATTCAGCTTTTGATTAGACCAATCATGTGCCTTAGGCAGGCAAGGTTAAACCAATGCAACACATCTTTACATAATTAAACAAACGCAGAATAAGCAAAAGTAACACATCTTTACATCGATGTAAGTCTAGCAAAGGCCAGACTTAAAATTCCCAGTAAGCACACTTTTTAAATGAAAATATAAATGTATCACAAAATGATATTCTACCTTTATTTCAGTGTACAACAGGTTCCTATTTATGTAGTTTAGAAGTCTTGAAAACCTTTGGTAAGAGACTTTCAGTAATCTTTATTTTAGAGAATTAAAAAATATTTTTATGTATAGTGTGTGCCTGCCTGCATGGAGGCCAGAAGAGGGCGTCAGATCCCCTAGAACTGGAGTTAACAGATGCTGTGAGTTGACTGAGAGGGATGTTTCAAACAGAACCTGGATGCTCCCTGCAAGATCAGCAAGCGTTCTTAACCACAGAGACACCTCCCTAGTCCATTTCAGGGATCTTTATTGCCATCACTGTCATCATCATCATCACTACTAGACAAAGCTTCTACTGTTCACCTCTTGTGCAGTACAGGTGTGATCTGCTTTGTTCCCCCACCTGAGGGCCCATTTCCCCTGAGGAATGCCGTCATAAACCGTGGCTGCAGCGCTCCCTTAAGAAATTCCCCTATGGGCTAGCCACGGAGCTGAAGCACAACTGTCAGGGGCAGGTGGAGTCCCCAGAGCCCGTGACTTGTTATGTTACAAGGCAAAGAATGTTCTGCGAATAGGACACTGTGAGGGATGCTGAGCCTTAGTTATCTGGGTGAACCCAATAAGATCACAGGGTCTTTTAAAGAGGGAGCTAAGGGCCTGCGAAGCACAGGGGGAGCTGTGACGAGGGCTGGACAGGTCCGCAGAGGGAGAGGACTCAGTGGAAGAGGTAACAATGCTGGTTTGGAAGAAAGAGGAAGCTGCCACAGCAAGGAAGGCAGGAAACCTTGACGAGCTATCCAAAAGCAGCGGTTATCTCCTGAAGCCTT